CGGGGGAGCGGGCCGGAGTGCGGCGGTGAGATGGGGCCGGGGAGTGCCTGAGGTTGTGGCGGGCTTGGTGTCTGCAGCGGGAGCCTGCAGGGGTGTGTGGGGATGGGGAACAGGGTGGTTGAGGTAAACTTGGGTTGGTTTGGCAGGATAAAGCGGTGTCGGAACTACTATGAAATCCTCGGGGTGGAGAGGGACGCCAGCGAGGAAGAGCTGAAGAAAGCCTACCGCAAACTGGCCCTGAAATTCCACCCGGATAAGAACCGAGCTCCCGGGGCCACCGAGGCGTTCAAAGGTGAGGGGGGGGCTGCGGGGCTCCCCGGGGCCTGGAGCCAGGTGGGAATGGGGACAGGCTGCCTCAGACACACGACTCTGCACCTTATGTCAAGGCGTCCTACTGGCCCTTCTCATTCCTGTTGACAGATCTGTACACCACCTCAGAATCTCACTGCTGGTTGCCAAGGTTTGCCTTTTAATCCTCAGAATACAAATTTCCCTTAGAAGCAAAGGGAAACATATCCCACATCTCATTCCTGGGTGCTGCCGAAGGTTCAGAGCAGTGCTTGGAAAAGATACTGGGCATGCAGGAGAGTGTAGGATTGTGTAATCATCAATAACTGCCCTATGTCACAAATAAGATTCTATTTAGGTATCTCAGCACATAAAATTCTAGGCTAATATTCTGTACCTGGACTCTTCAGTAGTGCAATCCAGGCTCCTATCAACAATGTTAGCATCTCAACTGTAAAATCTGTTGCCTTCTCCATGCTGTGTTGCAGCTGCCAGCAACAGCACTGTCAGGCAGCACCAGGAAAGGAAGATATTCATTCACAGGCTTATTAAAGTAAGGAGTTTTTGAAGGGCTTTTCTTCATTTTTGTGTGTGTGTCAGGGTTGTATTTCTTTCTGAACTTGTTTACAGCTGTGTTCTGTCAACGATGAAGGAGGAAGATGAACCAAATCCTTGAGGGTGGTTTGACATAAAGTGTGAGACAGATAGGCTGTACAGGTTCGCAAGCATCTCTGGCAACAGAAAAACTTGGAGCCTGGCTCTGTATTTTAATTAACCTCTGGAGTGACTTAACTTTGTATTTTAACTGTGTGTGGTATTTGTAGGTGCACTTCTGTATTAGTGCTTAGTTTGCTCGAATAAAGCGTTACATTCTCACTTAATCTCTTGGCTGAAGTGCACTTTTCTCACCTCAGTTGTACCAATATTTCAGGTCTTTCCATGTACTTTAAGACTTTTGTCTCTCTCCTGGGATCAGAGGAAGCAGGTTCCATCACAGGTGATCCCAGCCTGGTGACCCTTTTGTTTGTTACCAATGCAAAAGTAACTCAACCTTTAGTCAGGCACAAATTTTCGATGCCTGTTGGGGCTTTTTTTTTGTCTTCTAAAAGTCTGAGCTTTGGAAGCAATGTCTGAGATGCCTGTGTAACACTTCTTTTCATCCCCTCCCCAGCAATAGGCAATGCTTTTGCAGTTCTGAGCAACCCTGAGAAACGATTACGATACGATGAATTCGGCAGTGACCAGGAACATGTCAGCACTGGCCAGGCCAGGCACTATAATTATTACACAGAATTTGAAGCAGACATTACACCAGAAGAAATATTCAACGTGTTTTTTGGTGGGAACTTTCCTACAGGTCAGTATCTTGTCTGCAGTGGTTTGGAAGTGCAGTGAACTGTCACTAGACTGTCAAGGAAGTTCAGCTTCTCTTGGTACTGGTGGATTGAGTACTGGTACTGAGTTGATGTATAATCAACCCAGGGTTGATTATACATCTGGAAAGAGCAAAAATGGTTTTGGATTTACTCTTTTGTGCCTTCCTAGCTTTTTATGCCTGGAAAAGCTCCCCAACATAGAGTTTAAACTTCAGATTTTAGCAGCTCTTTTCCCAGAACAGCTCCAATCCCAGCTTTGCTGTCCAGGAGTGCTCTCAGAGGGCAGACCTGCCAGTGGGGTGAGGGCTGTTGCTGCCAGGGCTTGTTCCTTACCTCGCACCCTCTTGAAAAACTCTGATACTACTCATTAGGGGTAAGGACATTTTAATCTCTCAGGGGGTCAGACTGTTGGATTCTTAGGTAGGCAACATGGTAGTACCAGCTGTAGCTGAAGACTTCTTTTTGTTGTTGCTTTTATTCCCTCTGTTGTCTGAAGCCAGCAGTGGTGAGGGAGGTTAAGATAAGGTGTGAGTTGAAGGGATCAGAGGTATCTCTGCTGATGAGGTTGTCCTTGAGACACCTTACTGCCTTCCAGCATAGCAGAGCTCCTGGCACTGTGGTCTCAGTGCCCCTTTAACTAGGAAGGAGTTCATGTGGCTTGCAGCAGCTTGCACGGTGTAAAGAAATTAAAAGTTGTTAATTAGAAAGTGTTGCCTGCCAGGAAAGGCTCTCTGTCCCTGCATGGGCACCAGCCAGGAGCTGAACACTGGACCTGGACCTGCAGCAGCTCCACATGTGTCTCAGTCCAGCCTTTGCTTTTTATTTGTGGTAAAAACAGGAAGATGCTGCAAGGTTGATGGAACACAGGTTTGGATTAGAAGTGAATCAGAAAGGCAGGGTGAGCTCTAGGGTCCTCCTGGCAGTATCTCATGAATTGCATTAGCACTTGTGAACCTCCTCACCTCCAAGGCCTGGACTAAAGCAGCATCCCTGCCAAAAAGATCATTTCATAGTTAGAGGTGCTGGTAGTAACCAATAGCTTCCTTACTAATCCTTACCAAACAAGTGTTTGGGTCTGAATCTACATTTTCCTAATCTAAAAGTGAGGTTTAAATTGTGGAAGGTTGTCTTTTCAGTAGTTTTCCAAGTAGGCAAAGTCAACAGAATTTCTACTTGGCAAGGCAATTATTAGTAAGAGGGTGTCCAGATAGTTGATACCATTCTGTGATTCTCAGCACCCTGCGGAAGCTGTTCTTCTCTTCCCACACTTGCTTCTGATTTTTCACAAGTTGATAAAATATTGTCTGAGCAGTGCTGGATGATAAAAACAAACCTGCCTAGATCCTTGGAAAAGCCTGTTGGAACAAGCAATTAAACAGATGTTTTAACACAATAACAAAGGTCACTTCCTCCCAGGTTTCCTGCAGAGTTCTTTGGGAAATTCAGAGAAAGGACAGTCTAAGACTGTAAAATAACGTGATGCCTTTCCCAGGGCTTAAAATAGATTTTTGTTTCTATTGTGGTGATAAGGCCATATATTTCAGTTCTCTAACACAAAGGCACAGCTGTTATTAAGATATTCATAAGGTGATAAAATGAGAATTGAAGCTTCAAATCAAAACAGCATATGCAATTCGTTCCTCATTTTAGGTTTTTTTTTAAAAAGAAATCAACTACATTCAGTGTGCAAGAAAGGAAATCCTGAATTGTACTCTTCTTTTTTTTAATCCTTTTAAAAAATCTCTTATCATTATTACAAAATCATTAAGTGAAGCTGTTAATAACTTGAAGGACAAGGAAGTAGAAATACATGTAGAAGAGCATATTCAGTCATTATGGGAAGCTTTAATTCATGGCCTGAATCTGGTGAAGCAAAATCTGGGGATGCAACACGAGCTGTGGGTTTGCAAGTGAGTGTGACAGAAACAAAATGGGAGATACAATAATAAAATGATAGCATGTTTCTACAGTTGGTTTTAAATCAAGATGGACAAACCTTTTTATGCCTTTTGGAAAGACATATTATTTTGGCATTTAAAGCTGAGGTGTGTTTGCTGCTGTTAATCTGAGGTCTCTCAATAGTCATTCAGGCCATGTAGTTTTAAGCATGGGAACTTCAACCAGAAACTCCCAGAATTACAGGTGAATACCAGCAACTGGATGAACATTATGACTCTTGGTTTCTTTTAACAGGAAATATCCATATGTTCTCAAATGTAGCTGGGGATCCACACTATTATCCACGGAGGCACCGAAATGAAAGAGCATGGACACAGGAGCCAGAAGAGGAAGAAAACAGGCCACAGGTAGCCAGGGAGGGGTCTCTTGGGCTGAACTGTGTCACCAGGGTGAGGGCTCCGCTTACACATCTGAAGCCAGGACACTTGCCCACTCTTAAATGCTCAGTGTTTATCTTATATAGGTTATAGTTGTTTTCAAAAGTCACTACATTGTCTTTTACTTTGTATATGTTGTATTGATAGGGTTACAGGCCCTGGAGTTTCTGTCACCAAGTGTTTTGCTGGTGCTTACTTTTTGCAGGCTCTAGTGGTTTGATAATCCAACAACAATTAGTCCCAATGTGGACTCATAACAGATACAGAAGTGCTGGCTTGTCCCCATGGGGTATTTATCCTTCTGTCAATCAGCACAACACTTGCTGCCCAGATGCTCCACAGACCTTTTCCAGCCTGGAGCAGGATGGGTCTGGGATACTTTTCTGCCATCTGAAACCTCCAGGTGAGACACAAGGTGTCATTTGTTGCTAGCACACATACACAGATGCCACCTGGAAAAATCCTCAGTCTGTTAACCTAAGGAGATCATTCTCCCGGGAGGAAGGATTATTTGTTCCCTGTGAGTCTCTTACAGTCAGGGTCTGAGAAAAGCCTGCACAGCCTGTAGACAGCTAGGCTGGGGCAACAAACCCACCTGCTTCTGCTTCAGGGATTCTTGCTGCTATCCAAGGGCAGAGAGCAAAATCTAAATAGCTGCATATTGTGTTTTGATTACAAGAGGCATCTTAGGACAGTTTAAAAAACATATGAAGAGCAGAAGATCTGTGTCTATAACTACCAGAACTCTTTTGTCCTTTGATATTTTCTCCCACTCTTTTGTTCTACTAAATTCAAACAAAATAACCAAGTTCTTGCATCCTGTCCCAAGTTACAGACTCTTAACCCTTTAATTTTCAGTCATTTTATCCAGTGTTTGAACCCAGACTGAGATTTTTCAAATGCATGTAGCAAACTGCAGGGGATGCAGGGAAAGCTGTAGGTACAAGTGGGAATTGCAGTGTTTTCCTTCAGGTTGCATTGTCACTGATAGGCAGAGCACAGTGGAAATCTGTCACCTTGTGAAGGAAGCTGGAGATGAAAGAAATGTCAGGAAAAGATAATTGAAAGAAAATGGCTTTAAAGAGCTTTCTGAGATTATCAATAAAGGTTATTTTGAAGCTATAAAATGTCATCCTTCAAATGTTGAAAGTACTTTCTCTTTTTTTCTTTCCAGTTTACATTTAATACATTGTTGATCAGTGATAGTCTGGTTTCTGTGAACAGATGCATCCTTTTCCATCTGTATCTTTTCTTGACTACTGGCTCTTGTTCTTTTCAGAATTCATATTCTGCATTTATTCAGTTGATGCCAGTTTTCATCATCATCATTGTGTCAGTTATAACTCAGCTGATGGCCACAAACCCACCCTACAGCCTGTTCTACAAATCGTAAGTCATTTAAAAACACATTTTTCTGGGCTTCAGTGCTTTAGATAAGGAGGTAGATGGAACTGAGCTTGATAGCAGAGCACATGGTAGTGTTTTGTTCTGCCCTCCCCAGCAAATGTTATCAATTTGTAAATAAGGAAATACCAGCAGCCTCTACTGATGAGTTCCCCTGAGCCTTGTCACCCTGGAGGTCACTGTGCTGAACAAACAGAGGCACCAGGCCAGGAGGCTTTTCCCAAGGGGTGTGAAATGTTTTTGCACAGAGAGAGAGTAGCAGGAA